CTTTTTCTTAACTCTCCTTTATATATGTTCTTATGTTTTATTCATGTAAAAATCTTCAATAAAAATTATATTAAAAAAAAGAAAATGTATTAACATGCAGATGTAACTTTTAAAAAATAGCTTAATGTTTCAGGCATTAAGCATGTGATTTGGTTCTGCATCATAGTTGCTTTCATATATACACCTGGACATGTATTTGTTTGTTTATTCGATTTAGATAGTTGCCCATCTCACTTTTACGTGACTCTAGGAATAAAATACATAAAATACACAATATAAAAACAGAACACATAGCAGCAGGGCATAATCTAACCAATCATCTACACAGCAAGGAGACAGGCTCCATCCCACCCCCAGGGTCCCAGGCTCATGGCACAAATCCAAGCTTTCAAGGCTCTATGAAAGGCCAACAAGGAAGGGGCCAATATAATTTCTAATTTGTTGCTTTAAATGGCAGGGGGGCAATAATGGATTAATGAAGAGTGGGTCAAACAGCATTCATTGTACTATATATGGGGGGGGTCATTTTTATTGTTTTAGAGCACACTGATCAAAGCTACTATTGGCTTCCATTTCAGATACTTCTTCACTAAACAAAATCCAAACAATTTCAGAGAAAATAAAAACAAATCATATGGTATCCTGAGGGAAAAAACCCATTTTCCACATCTTACTAACCATTTATATAGCTTTCCCAAAGATGCTAATGGGCAATGAAGCATAGAAGCACAGAAAATGAAATCATCAGATCCTCTGCTAACCAGGGATGTGTCAGCCTTGTGAGGTAGTTCAGACAAGAAGCACACTCAGAAGTATTAGCTCTATCTTTATTGTAAGGCTATACTAACAGAATCTTGCAAGTCTGAAAGTACATCTCTCCCCCCTCGCCTTTACAATCCATGAAATTAGGGAGGGTCCCTTCTGAGATGTTTGCCATGCCTCCCTTCCTTCTGCAGGCTTAGCTGCTTCTCATCTGACAGTTGTCTAGTCTGCAGCTCTTCCTCCTGTCCCAAGGTCATTCCCACATACTATTACAGGATGCTAGAAACACATTCTGACAACTGTGTTCAAATGAAACAGCTGTATGAAGGCTATGATAACAAGCAGGCATATGCCACCCTTAAGAAATATTTGTTTTACTACCATCTCCAATTTAGATAAAGGCCATGCATTTTGCATGGATGGGAATTCCTTTAGAAATTATTTTTAGTTGGTCTGAGATATATTTATGTTTCTGCCACATATAATACCTTTCCTGTTAATTTCATTGGACCTCAGTTGGCTTTCAGCCAGAATTCAAGGTGCTGTTTTTACTTTCAAAGCCTGAATAATCCAGGCCCATAATAATATCTGATCATATATAAACCTGATTGGCCCATCATGTGAGGTTGGCTGTTTGATCTGCCACTTTCTGAGGACAACTTGATGACCACCAGGGACAGGATCTTTTCAGTGTGGAATATCTTGTCTGATTTTATAAGCTGTGCCTTTTTAAAAGGCAAATCAAGTTATAAATTCTTTGCATCAATATGTTTAGTAAATCCTTCATAAATTAAATATTGTATAATATTTTCTTGCTGTTTTGATTTCAGCAAAATTATGTTTGTTTATTCTCCAATACTTGGATTCTATCATTCTTGATTTCTGTTACTATTTGTCAATTAATTTTGGGACTTTTTCAGTTAAAGTCTTCTTTGAAGTTTGTGAATGTGGCAAGATGGCTTGAAAAATAAACTAATTCAGAAAATTAATTTCTAGTGATTTATTTAAGGATCTTTTTCAAGGTCCTGACTGATAGAGGTCACTGAGTAAATCAATCACTTTATTCAGATCTCTGGGTTAATTATTTTTTCACTCATTATTTTGTCACAACTACAATTTAATTTCATTCTTCAGCACTGAACTGCATTATCACAAACAAAATCTTTCTAGAAAACATAGTAAACAGGGGTCACCTTATGAATTGAACTACATTATATCAATGTCTACTAAGCATGTCACAAGTTGTTGTGGCCACTATTCCAGTGGCTCACCAGCCAAGCTCTTTTCTTTTTGTCCTGAAAATTCAAAGTTGGGGTCAAAGTTTTTGCCTATGCTGCCAAGATTTATCCCCTTTCCTTCTTCACATTCTTCAGCTCAACATTCATTCAGCATATATATTGGATCCAAATCTTTAAACATTTAGTATGCACGTCAACCATATCTCTCCTTTTATCCTTTCATTTTCCAGCATTTGTATTTGTAACCATGAAGATCTCAATGATGCCAAGTTGTTCATGTTACTAAGGATTTGAGTTTTACAGTGATTCCAGCAAGATGGACTCCTATATGTGAGCAATCATCGTGTAGAAGCTTTCATGATGCAGACTTCAAAGCCAATGTGATTATATCTAGGGGCAACACAAACGTCATACATTACATTGACACGTTGCTGCTTTCTCTGAAGTTTCTAGTTGTGGACAATTTCTGATGATTCCTGAGTAGGCTGTTTGACTTCAGGTGGTGGGTGGAAATTCCATTATGGATACTTACCTAAATAAAAATCTCCTTGAAAATCAGGTAGAAAGACTGTGGGATAGTTTTTATTTCTATTGTTTTTTCATTAAAAAAAAAAGTTCAAGTGTGAATGTATGGCACAGTCTGTTTTACTACTTCAGGACTGAACTGCTTACTTCCATATCATAGTAAGGTTATGTCAGTGGGGAAAAAAAAGCTTTCATCACATAATTATTTGATAAAAAAAATGTTGATAATAGGTCAACAGCATGAATGATGGTTTGCATTAATTTTTCCTTCTCACTTTAAAATATTTTCTTATTCAAATATACTTACAACTCTGGCACTGATCTGCTGAAGGTCCCCAGCATCGGTTTCCACAGGACTTGTGACACTGTCCACCTTTAGAAAGAGTAGAAACAAAATTAAGACATGATTCACAGTCTATTTTCTTCAGTGCCTTTAAGGCTTCATCCCAAAACAACTCTTTAAGGTAATCTACTGTGGCATTTTTATGAGATCATTAAGTTTTACCACTACTAAGACAGACAAGAAAAGGGGTTCCTTAGAAAATCTGCCATGTTTCATATATATGAATTAAAGGTAATTTATGATCAAACTATGGATCCTGATTGCACCATTTTGTCTTAGATGGCTACTATAGAAATTTAAATACCTAACTATTTTCTTCTCCCAACTCTATCTTTGTGTGAGGTTGCCAAGCAATAAGAAAGGAGGTAATGTGGAGAGAAAGCATTAACAGGTAGGAAAAAAAAGTAAAAGCCTAAAACCTGGTAATCCAAATTTCATGATGGACATCAGTATGCCTAGAGACACCTGCCTTGGCACCTCCCTGGGACCATGTCTCTCTGATTTTATTTTATTTAGTTTGGTTTCTTTAAATTACAACCATGTTAATGGGAGACCAGATTGCTGGGAAAAAAACACCAATCCAAAGCAAGATATTTATTTCCAATAGTGCATCTGGAGTCCTCAGCTCCAGAGTCATTTTTCAGAAATAAAACTGGTGGAAGGGTATAGCCTACTCTGTTGCTTGGAACTGCAGAATCATAGTGTTGGAAGAGGCCATTCAGGCCACTGAATCCAACTACCTGCTCAGGACAGGAGCCCAAATTAAAGCATCCTAGGCAGTTGGGGCCATGCTTGAATACAGTCAGTGAAGAGGAGCCTACCATCTCTTCGGATGACTGGTTCCACTGTCAAACTGTTCATCCTTAATGGATGCTTATTCTAATATGTAATCTGAATCTCTTTGCCAGAAACCTTGGGGAGAGACATCTGTGACAGAACTGATCAAAGGTTTGATAACAAGACCAACCACAGCTTGATCCATACAGGAGGATGCTTGTATGGTCAGACTATGACATCTTGTCGGCAATGCTACTTTCTTACAGCTCCTGTTAAGGACTGATATTCTCTGTCCTCCTTTTTTTCATGCAGTTATACCAAGTAACTGGTCCTGTCCAAGGCCTATCATTTGAGGAGAACATTATATTCCTATATTTCTATGCAAAATTATACAGACTTGTTTACCTCCTTAAAAATTATGTTTGCTTATTAAACTTGTCTAAGTTTAACTTCACTTGATCTTCCCCATGAGAAATTCTCTGCACTGGCTTGCTTCTGCAGTTCTACAGAATTCCAGAAATGAGAGAATATAAACTTCCTTCCTACTCTCCTTTTGAGCGACCTCATGTTCCATAAATGATGAAGAAAGCAAATTTTCTAGGAAGAAACACCAAGATGTAAGATTACATTAACTTTTCGCCAGGAGATCAAACAAGAATTCTGGGATAAAATGAAAAAGTGACCCAGCTTTCCAGAGATGAATTTTAAACTTTGGCTTCCTTTCCTTTCCTTGGCAGAATCACAGGATGGTAATATTTAACATGTCAGATAGCTTAAATGTTTCAAATGGTGTTTTGTTATGAATTAGCCTCCTTAATGCTGCAACTAAGCACCAAATATTTCTGCTGTGTAGAGGAAGATGTTTTATTAAATACCCATGAGGCCAACAGGTCATGGAGAATATATACTCAACCAAATTTCATCACTTTCTGACAACTACATAATACTGATAGAATTTACTAATTATGTTATACAACAGTTGCACATGTATGCTAACCACCTCATTAAAAACATCAATTCCAAAGTTCATTTAAGGCAATTATGAACACTTTCTTATATCAGCATGTAGTTCTCTGCCATTGCCTGGCTTCTGTTTATTGGGATCAGGACTTCCATTATAGTTCTGACATGCAAGCTCATTCCAGTTGAGAGGAAAGGAGTATCGTCTGGCACAAGTAGTAGAACTTTAACCTGTAACAATGACTATTGTTATTCAACATCTCTGTAGAAAACTAGATACACCAAACTGCCTTAGAAAAGATGTTATTAGGAATGAGGGAGGGTAAGGAAATAGATAGTGAAGACTTATACAGACATTTTGTAAGAAACACTGGGAATAAATGCATAAATGTAACTGAAGACTTGCAAAGACTTGAAATTCTGTTTGGAACTATTCTCTCTCATATACAAGGTAAAGTAGTTTTGCCTGATCCAAATATATATATTCAGTTAAAAAAACAAAGAAACATAATGTCATTGGGAATACAGTAATACCTCGGTTCACGAACGCTTCTGTTCACGAACAATTCGGTTCACGAACAGCACCTTTCGCAAAATTTTGCTTCCGTTTGCGAACTCCGCATTGGGTGACGAACAGGATCCATGGCCATTTTCCCTGCTGTGACACGTGGTCGTGGCTTCCTGTAGGGAGGAGGACTCTCCCTCCAAACAATAACTGCCTCCCCACCCGCCTTCCTGTCCTCCATGCCAGAAGTCACCTCGACCAAGGTCAGCGTCCTCTCTCTTCATACTGTACTGTACTGTACTTTGTTTCATATTTTTGTGGTTTAAAAAAAAAATACATATGGTTCAGAACAGATTAACCGTATTTACATTGAACGTTATGGGAAAATTTGATTCGGCTGGCAACCAAAATCGGTTGGCGACCACATTCGTAGGGGTCAGAATGGATTAACCGTATTTACATTGAACGTTATGGGAAAATTTGATTCGGTTCACGACCAATTCGGTTTGCGACCAGAGTCGTGGAACGAATTAAGTTCGTGAAACAAGGGACCACTGTACTACCCACTGAAGCAGAGATAGTCCTCAACTTATGACCACAATTGGGGCCAGAATTTCTGTTGCTAAGCGATGTAGGATGTCATGTGACTGTATCACTTAGCAACTGCAATCCCAGCACACCCCGTTCAAGTTGTTAAGTGAATTTTATTGGTCATTAGCCGAGGACCCACCCCAAACTAAGTCATTCCAGGCTTGGTCCCTCCCAGCCCCAAGCCTCAGTAAGGTAAAGGTCTGCCTCCAACTCACCCCACAACCTATCTCCCCCCCATCTCTGCCCTTTTGCCACCCTGCAGCTTGAATTGAGGGGCAGCAAGCAGCCTCAAAACTGCATGGCTCTGGGGCTGCTTGCCATGCTGCAGCTCAGGGGCTTCTTGGCATGCTGTGATTCTGGGGGTCCAAGAAGCCCCACAGCCACAGCACAGCACAAAGCCACAGCTGCCCCTGGAAACCCCAGTCACCCCAGCCCACCCAGCAGCATGGCACCCGGAAAGCCCCAGCAAGCGCCAGCAAGCATTCGTTCGCCCAGCTGCCTTCTCCCATTCCCCACACCGACCTTTCACCTTTTGCACCCAGCTGCCATGGCTGAAGCAGAAGCGCCTCACTGCCTTTGCTGTCTCCTTTTCAGACCCACAGCTGCCATGCTACCCCGGGCACTCCAGCTTCTCCAGCAAATGCTTCCTACATGTGGCTCCCTGAGCCTTTGGAAAGCTGTGCTGCCTTTGGAAAGCTTTGCAGCTTTCCTAAAGCTTTCCAAAGGCAGCGCAGCTTTCCAAAGCTTTCGGAAGGCAGAGCAACTTTCCAAAGGCTCAGTAGCCTGTAGGAAGCTTTCACTGGAGAAGCTGGAGTGCCCGGGGTAGCGTGACAGCCATGGGTCCGAAAAGGAGACAGCAAAGACAGCGAGGTGCTTCTGCTTCAGCTGCGGTGGCTGAGCGCAAAGGTTTGGTGCAGGAAACTGGGAGAGAAGACAGCTGGGCAAATGAATGCTTGCTGGCACTTGCTGAGGCTTCCAGGATCTGCTGCGTCTTCACGCTGCGCTGTGGTTTGGGGCTTCTTGCAGCCAAGAAGCCCTTGAGCCACAACATAGCAAGCAGCCCCCGAGCTGTGCAGTTCTGGGGCTGCTTTCCCTGACCCCCAGGGGGGGGGGGCATAAGGGAGAAAGGGAAGGGGGGGGGGGGGGGGGGG